CCCAACTTGACAGAGTGCGAGAGAGCCTCATTGGCGCATGTCGATCCCGATGTCAATCTCGGAGAAGAAGAATTCTACTCCCCTCATCGAGGAGAATGTCCCACCATTGACGAGTACAAGCAAGCTCAACCAGGATCCGGATATCCGATTAAGCTTCCGCTTGGATTGAAGAAGCTCAGGTCACATGATGACCCGGAAATCATCCGAGCCTATGCCGATATCCTGGGATCGCTGGTGCAGCCGACCGACCGTCCTCCTGTGGACTATCTCAAGATGCATGAGTTCACCTCATCCATAGCGATCAACATGCTTACCCTGAACCATGGAAACCTCACAAGGAATCCAAAGCTGGACAACAGGGAGGTGTACAACATGCCGATGAAGGATCGACCGATCGTAAAGATGATGATGCAGAACAGTGCACACATCTTATGCCTGAATGAAGCAGACGCATTCTTCAGTCCTAATGATGAGAAATCCAGGGAGCTCATCAAGACGTTCATCCGATACGGTTACAAGGGCATCGTGATCAAGCAATGGTCATCCAGACCGATCGCATGCTTTGTCCGTGGCGGACCTTCTGCAAGAGTGGAACTTCTGGCAAGACACATTTCCACCAAGAGCCAGAATTGGGGAACCACATTCGGAATGTTCAGATGTTTCTTCGGAACTGAAGGAAGTTGCACTGATCCCGAATACGAAATTCCGACCTCGGATTGCTTGGCAACCACAGGACCATCCATGTTTACTGAATCCAAGAAGTACATTGGACCGAGATTGCCAACACGCACCATTGTCCAAGGACATGGCCGAGACAAGGAGATCGTCGTTCTCCATATCGAGCAGAGTGATGAGTTTCGTGGCATGATCCCGAAATCATCCAACAAGTCACTCCACGAGTATGACGACCGCCACATAACGAGGGCAGATCTCCCATTCGCTACCATTGGAGTTTTCCACATCCATCCTTCAATTAGCCATGGAGCAGCAAGGGAAGATCTTCAAAATGAAATCATGCCGCTCGTGACTTTGTACCGATGCGATGCGATCACCGGAGACGCCAACAAATCAGCGAACACCTGCAGCAAACTCCAGCACGTCTTCAATCCGGCCAACGGTCTCGTGAACATCCTCATGAGAGCATATCAGAGACTGTGGAGTGAAACGAAAGATTCGCCACTCGTGGACAGAATGGAGTATGCAATGGAGACTTCGTGCGCCCTAAAATCCATTGTCCGTCATCACCTGTACATGAAGTGTGGATCAGGATATGATCGAACATTCCCAGATGTGAGGACTCCGACTCTCACAGTCCTCTCATGGTTTACATCCGCAGCAAATCTGCAACCAGGCAACGCAGCTCTGAGAGATACCCGGAGTACATCAAGAAGAAACAAGCCTGGGCGCCGCAGGAGTACAAGGACTACAACAAGCAGTGGGGACATCAGAAGCAGTGGAAGGACTGGAATGATTATGGAGACTATGGCAGTCAATCCGACAGCAGCCGCCGATGGTATCGTCGATCCGACTGACCATGAAGATTCATACGTTCAGCGCCACGAACTCAATTCAGATGATTGATCCTCGCCGTCTACAAGACTATACCATGAGTGAGAGATCAATAGTTTCACAATCGTCCCGCGTGTACATAGCGTTGTACATCACCCTTTGATACATCTAGGTATCTCAAAAAGAAGCAGTACATAGTGTTTTCCATTTCGAAAGCCAAGACATTCCATCCGAGCAGAAAGGAGGATGAATCCGGCATTTTTAATACAGCATGGCTACGGCATACATCAAGGCTACGGCCAAAGGCCATGAAGCCAATAGTATTTCATACTCAGTGCTGGAGATCAAAAGAAACTTGTGTCTGTTTTGTGTTTGGTTCTCAGACCAATTGATCTCCCGCAACATTTGGACAAGGCCCCTTTTGTATATCATTGCATCATTCATGATCGCGTGAAGCAAAAGAACCTTAGCAGGCCGCTTACAGGATTATCCACAAGACAATCTACCAGGGACCAACACAACGACCTCCACTACCACAGGGTACCAGTTCATTTCGGGGATAGGCACCTGGGGCAGTGGGCCTCACCCCGACCCCCCCCCCCCCCCCCCCCCCCCCCTCATCCCAAAAACCCCACACACCCCCCCCCCCCCCCCCCCCCCCCCCCACCCCCCCACCCCCTTTCCCCACACTTGCGCTCCTGCCTGGTCGCAAGTGACCCTAATGTAGGTTCGCAAGTGACCCCATTGGTCGCAAGTGACCTTAATTTATGGTCGTAATTGACTCAAACCCTAAAAAATCCTAAAAACCTTAATTTTATAAACAACTCTAAACCTTCAAAACCTGGTACCAAACCCGAAAAACCATAAACCTTAAAATCCGAAACCAAAAGCCACACACCCCCCCCAAACTTTTTTTGGTACACGTATGGAGTAGGATTCAATGTGACACACTTATTTTGCGTGGCCCCTGCGCAGACTTGTGACAGGGGTAAGGTTGTATGTATGTGACGTTTTTTGGGATCAAAGTGGGGTAGGGTCGAATGCGACTGTTCGGCCTTCCAAAGTTGCCTTCGCTCCGCCGCAAGAAGACACATACTTTCATCATGTCGTTTCGGGGCAATGGCGAAAGGTTGCGCGCACTCATTTTTAGTTCGGGACTCGTACGCCTGTAGCCATGCAAAGGCTACTTTGCGGAGATGTCTCATTCAATCACGTGCTGTAGTTCTTCGTGGGAAGTGCAAAGCACCCCTTGCCTGTCTGGGTTTTTCAAAGTAGAAATCCCCGAGGGTTAGTTTCCCTTTGTTTCCCTTCAACTACCAAGCCAAAGGGGGCCAATTTTTGAGAAACATCCCTATGTTGTCCATGGCCCTTGGTTCAAAGGCACCACCCCAACTCCCCAGGAAGAATCAAACGGGTCTGACCGGGCAATCGAAGCCGTGGCCGAGGAGCTTCTGCTGGCACCACTGAGCTTTGCCAAGTACTCGCCCCTTTTGTGCCCGCCCTGCCAAGTGCAACCGATTCCCTCTCAACTTATCGGGTGAAAATGAAACAGCTGAGAACGCATGGGCAAGGTGGGTAGGTTCTCTTTCCCTCAACAAGCCTTTGCTTTTTGCCTCATGCCGGCACCCAGGTTGTCTTGAGCCCCATAGATCCGTACATGGTCAACCAACAAAGCGTCAAGACGCATCAATGCAGATTTGACATCTCACTGGGAAGCGTGTCCTCCTTCCTTCCTTCAGCACCTAATCCTATCTCCCACTGCCACGATTGCTACCGGAAGAGCGACATGAAACGAGGTTTCGGCTGAACACGAATCGATGCTGAAATTCTGCCACTATGGCGTACAGGGCATGCTAGCTTCGACAGGATGGCTAGGGCATTGAGTCAACAGTTTTCTTTGTTTCTTGAGCTGCAGTCCCAGCTTGGCAGGGTCGGCAAATGGGGGAGGCTTGGGTAGCCGAGGGTACTGCAGGCAAGTGGTCTCCAGCTCTGTTTTGTAGCTGAAAATTCGGCTGGCGTGGCCGCGCACTTTTCTTTTCATTTGTCTCTGGCCCAACCTTCAGCACGCACTTCAGCCACCGGCCGTGTGTTGCGCAATTCTGGGCAGAAACGTCTTCGAATGGCAAACGGCATCCCTTAGAAGCCAAGTTTCAAAAAGTGGCCCTGCCACGCACGGAGCGGAGCCTGTGTGGCTCGAAAGTCTCACTCGCCGGGTTCTGCGTCGCTGGGAGGTTCGTGGCGACCTTCCTTTGAAAAAAGGTAAGCCCTTGAGGGAGCCGCGGAGCCTCCCCTGACCGGCCCGGGGCTAGAGAGTGAAAATGCAAAAGCGTGAAAAGGAGCTGGCTGCGTATTGGATGCAGTGAACTATTTCTGTCGAAAGGATATAAAGTACTTTTGGACACATTCGACAAGTGAGCCACAATCAAAACCCGGGTAAGTGAAGGTTAGTAAGGGACGATCCCAGCCAAAATCAGATGCGGCTGCCTTCTTAGTTCTTTACATGGTTCTGGGTCGACCATTTTTGTACCCGGTTTTGATTGTGACTCAAGTGCCTTCAGGATTTTGTCGCAAGATATACCATGAACACACGTGACGAAGCTGATCCGGACCATTTTTTGGTCGAACGCCAACAAGACAACTGGATTATTTTCAAACACAAAGGTGTTGTCCTATACGCGACAGATAGCTGTTGCCTCTGTTTCGGCCTAGCCCGCCATTGTCTGTTTTCCGTCGATGTGAGATATGAATTCGTCCATGATCATTCATGAATTGCGTGGTTGAAATTATTTAGTTCACACAGCACAGTCCTTCTTTCCTTGCTCTAGAGCTGCAGTATGTTTTGCCGATCTGCTCCACTGGCCGCTTTTTGCATTGAGCTCCTTGGGCACATGTCTGTGATCTGCAAGACGTCACAGTGAGGACCAGGCTCAATCGGACCGATCAAACTCACCGAATTCTTGGCCTTGCCGTGTGGAAGTAGCGTTGGCGCTTTCGCAGCGAGGCGCTCTCCGGCAGTTTGACGTGTGCATTTTTCCGGCCGAGAGAGTCAACCCACACATCAGGTCCAGGGGCTTGGAACATCCAATACGATTCTGAGTTTGCGGCAGCTCGAGCTTTTTTTGGTTTGAGTCAGCCGTCAGCTTCGGGAAGGCCTTTCGAGCAAAAAGTCTCAAGGGTTGTCTCCGAGGTCTCAGCCGTTAGGCGCTTTGGACCCCAAAGATCGGTGTGGAATCTTGGTGCTTCCGTCACGAAAGGCGCCCATTGGCCCGTGACTCCGTCGAGGTTGGTCTCTGTTCAAAAGACTTTGCGGGGCTGGGTTTCGATCTCACCCGGTACTTGAGATACAACCCGTGTGCCCCATAGATCAAATGACCCAAACAAAGGGCGCTCCCTCGGATGCTGGTTTTGGTTGGCGAACGGCAGATCAACCGCAGAGGTGATCGGCGATGTGATGTCGGCACACCTCCGATGCAATCCGGCGCCGCAGGCCCATGAACTCCCTCCAGGCGCGACGGGTCGAGTTTTTGGCCTTCCGAGGGCTCCGATCTTTCTACCTCCGCTCCCTAGGGGATTTTTACATGCCAGACGGGATTGTAAGTCTGAGGAACATGGATGCGTCAACCAGCCCTTTGTCTGGGGAGGGAAAGAGCCAGTTGAGGGTGGGTGAGTTAGTTTGTTGGGGATGTTGCACATGATTTGCCGAGGAAGTGAGCGGAAACAATCAAGCCAGTTGAGTTGGTAGATAGAATGTCAGCTGGGTTTGTTGATGTCAGGCTTTCCAGACCATTTCCCAGAGCATCCTTGAGACGTTTTGCACAGATTGGATGAACAACTTTACCGCATGGAAAGACTGCAGTTCTGTTGATTCGGGAAGGCTTGCGATTGAACTGTTTGTTTTGCTCGGTGTACTTTTCAAGTTGGTACTGTGGGATGGACTTGGCATCCTCCTGCAGCTGGCGGGCTGATTGTTGTAGCAATCGCCAAGGGTAGCCGGATAGCCGATACACAATGATCTGCTTTCTGCTTTATGCTTAATTAGTTTACGATCGACGTGCAGGGGATCGCTGCAACAGGCTGTGGTGACTTGAGGGTTCGATGGTTCGCACGTGGAAGCATATCCCTTTGTCCCTTGAGAACTGCATGGTTCCTTTGCGAGAGGTGTGGGAGTGTAATTTTTTGATCGCATGGAATGAGCTCCGCCGCGGGCGCGTCTTTAGAAGTCTCCGACCGCCCGCCCTGTCCAGCGGCTCAGCCGGACGGCGATCAGTTCCGACAGCCACGAGCCATGGACTTCGAGGACGCCCCGATTTGCCAGGCGGGGGACGAAGTGGTTGGCCGAGCTGTGGTTGGCCGCCCGGGATGGGGCAGGAGGTAGGGCCAAAACACCGTTGGGCTGTTGGTGTTGTGCTTGTTTTGTCAGAGCCTTTTGGCTCCGAGCCGTTTTTGGTCAGAGGTTTGCGATGGAGAAAGCACGCATCGGTCATGCATGTGGTACCTTGCCTTGCCAAAGCAAACATCCCCGCAATTTCCGCGTCACCCGTGTTGTATCCACGTTAGCGCGAAAGAATGCCGGCGTCAAGGCGCAGATCTCAAACCAGCGCCACAGCAGTCATTTGCGGAGTGTGTGGCAACGCGAGAGGCAAAGAACAATATCATTTGGCCTCTCAGGCTTTCCGGCTGTATACGTATTGTCAACACTGCCATTTGGCCCGGACCTTTTTCAGGCTTTCCGGAATGTCGCCCGCCGACCGACCGACCGACCGACCGACCGATCGACCGACCTTGATGAGGATTCCGGAGGAAAAACCACCACCTGGCCCCTGCCATCTGCACGCTCAAACGCAGTACTTGCCTTGTTGGCACAAGTTCACTGGGTTACGCTTTTCCCATGGGAGCATGATGTGGCCCTGCAGCTCCGCATTTGTTTTTTCCTGCATTTGCTTGCTGCTAGCGCGCTGATACGCTGACTGAGTGGGCTCTGGCGGCATTTGCTTTGGGAGTTGAGGCTCAGCTTGGCTTCTTTTTCCTGGATTGGGCCCATCCAAAGCACAGGCAAAGACTTGTCACATGCCATTGCAACCTTTGAGGGGAAGGCAACGGCTTTTCTTCGAAGCCATGGGGGTTTCGAATCTGTTCAACCTCGTTCGCCCAAGTCTCAACGGCAATCCAAGACTGAATGGGTTGAGCGGTGACGTCGGCCAGACATGGGAGTCGGTGACTTCTCAAATTGTGGACTGGTGGTTCCGCACTCCTACGGTTCGATGTGGATGCGGCGTGCGCGACAACGACTCGAGGACGATCTGGGAGTTGGCCCAGTGCACCTTTGGTGTGTCATGACAGCCCGTGGCTTTTTGTCGTGTTCACAGTTTCTAAAAATAAAATCGGGCACAATTAGGCCTTGTTCTTACTGCAAAGAGAATTGACGAAGCCTGCGTCATTCAGGCCAGTGCATGCACTTTGTAGACTTGTCCTATTTGAATGCCTTGTCGCACCAGAGCTTCACCTGAATCAGCAGGTGGTGTGAAATCCGAGTTGCTGACTGTTCTTATGATCCTTTGAACCAACATTTCTGAAACAATCTAGATGGTTCTGCCGGAAGTTTAGAGTTTTTTGGGCTTCAAAGCACCGTTTGCTTCATTCAAACCATCCCAAGTCGTGTGTGGAAGGTTCACACAGACTGATAATAACATCCCACCTTCACCAGAAACGTTTATGTCGAGGATTTTTGTGCAAAGGCTGTCAGAAGCACAGCCTAACAAGGACGGCATTGCCCTTTGCTTCCACTTTAGCGCTGCCAACTACACATCAGGCAGTTACACCTTGTCTTCATGACCAAATCGGAGGAGCTGGACATGTATTTAGTTTGCCGAACTTGGAAGCAAAAGAACTCGATAGCCTTGCCTTTCTAAGTGGGCCTTACGGGAACGTTTCTCTGGGCTTCTCTTCATGAGGCCGTGGGTCAACACCAATGATACCATTTTGGGGTTTTCGGTGCACCACCCATTTTAGAACCTATTTTAGTGGTTGGATTGAATCGGATGTTCACTGGGGGTACGAGTTCGATTTCCCATAGCCATGTCTCTGGGTACAGCCGTCTCGAGGACGATTTTCTCCCGGGTGGCGCTTCCGCTGCTTTTGTTTCTCGCGGGTCTGGCGCTGCGGCTCACGACGCAGAAGGAGGGCCCGAAGGCGGGAGTGGCGGGAGTGAGGCCGACCTCCAAAGCGCTCCAAACAAGGCTCCTTGTACGGGGCTCCTTAAAAGATACGGTTTGCCCATTTGAAACATGGCTTTTTCCATCAAAATACAGGGACACCACAATTTACAAGGCAATGTTCAGGTGTATAATGCAAGGATCAATGTTGTATTCCTTGTTTTTTTTTTAGAAACGGGGTTGTTTTGCAACATATTCCGCGGCAAGAACAATTCCACTTTAGGGTAATCACGGCTTTCGTTTCTGTGGTGACTAGGCCAATGAAATGTCGGAAGTTGGAAGAAAACTCTGAGCTTCGGGTGCAGTGTCCACTGCGACACCCTCAGGCTGACCGCCCCGAGGATGCGCGGGAGGTCGGAGATGTGCGCAAGCCACGCTCAGAGCGGCTGTGGTACCTGGACTACGCGCGAATCGTTTGTGTGCCGATCTCAGCTGGCTGCGGCATTTAAGAGCCATGGAGTGTAGATGCTTTTTTTGGGCAGGGCTACAAAAGTTAAGCATTGCCAACGTCAGTTGATTTGGCGAAGAAAGTACTGGACAGGAGTCTCGTCCTGGAATGACAGCCTTGATTCTGCATTTGCACTTGTCAGGTGGCGTGTACAGTCACGGAGCACTCTGGTGGGGAATCGTTCTCGGACCGCAACGTGTGCTGGGTGCAACAGTGCCGCTGCGCCAATTTGTGGATTTAGGGGCTGGAGTGGCAGCATGGGGCATCAAACAGTTGATCATGCTTGAAGCTGTATGGACCACCATATGCAGTCGCAGTGCCATGACGGGTGTCAGCAATGGTTGATTCCCACGCCAGTTGAGGGCCATTGAAAGCGATTGACCATGGCTTGCGTCAGCAACAACAACAACGCACACACATCAAGCGGTGCACCTTGTCGCCTCACAGTGGCTCCATCTCAATCGAACGGCTTCTTTCCTCCAAGTGGAGGTCGTGTTGACAAAGTTACCTTTTGGTCGCTCTTCGAAACCCTTGGTCGTGGCCCGCGGTTCCTGGGTCGCTTTAGGCCTCCAGGGTTTGTTTTTGCCGGCGCCACATCTGACCGAAGGGAAAGCACATTTTTTCTTCGCAGTGGTCGGGGGGATCATTGACTGTCCAATTTTCGAGCTTCCCGCGCTGAGGTGGGTGGTACCATTCCTGTATGTTGTCAGCGGCACCTTGTCCGCAACCACTTATGCACAGGCATGTTTCTGTTCGCAGATTCATCCATGCTATTCTGATTGCAAGACAAATGTTTGCACATTTCTTTGGAGGCCCATCTGATCAGAGATGTCGTTCCCTCTCGAACAGGGTCGTGCGACTCAAACCAGATTGTTGCATCAGTAGTCGATCATCTTGGTGTCTGTAACAGTGGGCGTGCAAGCTTTTGGCTGGCTGTTGTTTCAAAGGAGCGGATTGCAAAGACGAGACTTGCCAAAACTTATGGACTATGCGTTCGACTGGATTCACCCGGCCACTGGCTGGGTGGAGCAAGAATACATTGCACATGTTGCCGCTAGCCAAACGCAAACTCACTCCCTCTCTCTCTCTCTGTCTCTCTCTCTCTCTCTCTCTCTCTCTCTCTCTCTCTCTCTCTCTCTCTCTCTCTCTCTCTCTCTCTCTCTCTCTCTCTCTTCTCTCTCCTCTCTACTGATACATGCAAAGGAAAACACACACCTGTGCAAAACTAGATGCACATGATGTACGTTGTAACAAACTCGAATCATGCGCTCTGCAGGCATGGCCTTCATGTTTGCAAAGAGCAAACTCTGGGTCTACGAGCTCCGCTGCTTGGCCATGGCTCGGGTCAGTCCCATGTGGCCGCGTGCGGCATCCTCTGTAGACTGGTTTTGCCCAGCGCAAGACGCAAATAGAAATTGTTGTGAGGGAAGGACAACTCAGTGTCATAGTTCAGAGTTCCAGGTTTTGGCTGCATTTGTCAGGGCTTCTCGTCGTTGGCTTGTTTTGGGCGGACACAATTGCTAATGTCTTGTTGGGCACGCTGCGGACATGTCAAATCATTGCCTTTGCTGCTGCTGCAGGAGCCACAGCAGCATTCACAGCCAAACACCTGCCAAGCTGAAACGTGTGAGTATCATGGGGGCTGGGGGAGGGGAGGGGGAGGGAGCCCAAAACAAGCCCTTATTAAGCCCCTAATAAGGCCTTATTTTAAACTTATTGAACCTCCCTCGCCCCCCTTCCCTCCAGCCCTCATGCGTGGGAGATTCTGGATTGTGGAAGACCTCCTTTGCCAATCATGTGGGTACCATAAGTCACATAGCAAACGAAAGCAAGTGAAGGCTATGTC